GTGTGTGTGTGTGTGTGTGTGTGTGTGTGTGTGTGTGTGTGTGTGTGTGAGAGAGAGAGAGAGAGAGAGAGAGAGAGAGAGAGAGACAGAGAGAGCAAAGAGCCCTTTCACATTATTCAGAAAACCCCTGCCGGTACTTCAAAAGGTCCCTGCCAAAAATTAGCAAGGGTCTTGTCAGCAAGAGAAGGGTAGTCGCTCGACTTATAGTAAGGAGGGAGCAGGCCAGCTATATATGGTATAGCTTCAATTTCAGGTCCGTGTTTCAGCAGTTATGGGTTACTGAGTTACTAACTCGGCACGTGATTTTCAGGGCTTCACTCCACTACTCACCAAATGTGCAAAACTAGAATGAATTTTCTCCTAGAAACTGGAACCATACAAGCCATATGTTTTTCTTTTGTGATGAGTGGAGCCAGGCCCTTAGGGCCTTAGGGCCACTGCATGTAAGAAAAGGAAAAACAAAAAGACGAGACAGCTACTGTAGTGTTTGTATTAAGTTCGTAACCCATAACTCTTGAAACACAGACCTGAATCCGAATCCAGAATATATTGCWGGCCTGCTCATGTTCCTCCAGCAGTTCGATGAACGTCCTTCCAAATGCATGGGATCCCTGCTAATTCTTTGCAGGGGACCTTAGGGAAAAAAGACTAGATCCAATGAGTACGACATGGCCCAAATTATTTTTTTGCTCTGCACTTACAAGTTTCAACAGGGAGGGACACATTTGGTTACCACAGCCTGCCCTTTCTGATTTTATTTTTTTCGTAAATGTGCTGCATCACGTAGGCGTGTGCTATGCGGCGCACGTGCGCAACTTGCGTGCACATGATGCGCCACATTTGGTTACCATATTAGCAAAGGCACTAGCTAACATGATAAAGAATGTAACAGGCAAATGCTTCCACATGTATCAGACAGGATTCATACCCGGACGATATATCCTAGAGTCCCTAGACAATGTTATCTGCCTGAATGAAGCAACCAAATTAATTAGACACAAAATCTACAAGCAGCCATCCTCTTCTTCGACTTTTAAAGGGCTTACGATCAGATAAACTGGGACTTCCTCCAGTTGTGTATGGAAAAACGGGAGAAAGACCGGTCTTCAGGCACTGGGTGAAGGTGTTGTACACAGACACAAGAGGGAGAGCTTAAGTAAATGGCTTCTTATCAGATACTTATAAAATGTTAAGGTCAGTTAGGCGAGGAGACCCACTAGTGGCACCCATAGTCCACTGCGTCATGGAGGCTCTAGCGGCCTTCCTAAGGAAGGACCCTTCAATTTCGACTTCAAGCCATAGATGATGGTAAGAACAGACAAATCCAAATTCTGGCAGTCATGCTATTCGCTGACGATCTAATGGTCCTCTTAAGGCCTTCAGATTCAACATTCCAAGCCTTAACAAGGACCATGCAAGCATTCCAATAAGTGTCAGCAATGAAGATAAACTGGAGGAAAACAGCTGGATGGTGGAATGCAGATACGCCCCCTCCACAGACCACTGATGTCACACAAGGCTTACAATGGATGAACCAGCAAATTCCTGGGCATATCAGTGTCTATATCAGGAACCAGCGACTGAATAGCAGTGAACCTGCTTGCGGCCATAATGAAAGTATATTGTGGATGGCAGAGGAAATACACCTCCTTAATGGTAGGGCCCTGGTCATCAACATGTCGATCTTCTCCGTGGCCCACTACACACCCTCCATCTGGGCCCCACCGGCGAATTTCATGAAGGAACTAAAGAAACAAATGCCCGCTTATCTATGGACAGGGGACGCATCGAAATATAAATTCATAACAAAAGTCACTGGGAAGTATGTAATCAATCCAACAAGCAGAGGAGGTCTCAGTCTCATAGACCCAGCAACAGAATGTAAGCCCTACGAGCAAAGTGGGTACTAAGATTAATACTGAAATTGGAGTTGCCATGGCAAGAAATGACCCTCTACCAAATAAGACACCTGCTGCCATTCAAAGCGCATGAAAGTATCGTAGGCCATACATGGCTCATGAACAGACACTGGTCACCTAGAAAGGAGGCAAACATAGTCAGACCAGAAGGAAGACCACACAGTGGGGACCCCACCCGCAGACATTGGGCAAAACTGATCTCAATTTGGAGGGAAACCTTTCCACAGAGGCTAAGAGGGCTGAGGACAAAAGAGGAAATCCTGAGACAACCCCTCTTTGGCAATGACCTCCTGAAAGATCAGAATGGCCAACCATGGACCCTGTTAGGGAGGGATAAGAGAGAGAGAAAATGGGTAGAAAATGGCCTGTGGAAGGTGGAACACATGTGGGACAATCACGATCGCAAATGGAGAATGGAAGTGGAGCTTAGACAAAGAATGAGAGGCTACCATAACCTACAGAAGAATCTGGAGGAATTAATAGACAGCATACCTATAGCTTGGAGGTCGGCTCTAAAGAGGGATAAACTCTGGAAGAGGGGGGATTGGGAAACTCTGAGGATCCGAGATTCACCCTCAGTAGCCCTCTGATTCATTAGATACTCAAAACCCGATAGCCATATAACAAGCTTTGGCGTTCATGAACTAGAAAGCACACACAGAGCGATACTAGTAGTCTAGTAGTAAGGAGACACTCCCTAATAAACCTAGACTTCAAGACACAAGATCTACAGAAAGGCAATTAAGAAACGAGCAAAAGCAAAAAAGCATTGGGGTCTAGATTGAGAATTTTCCACAGACCCAACTTCTCCAAATGAATTTTAATTGAGTTTCTTTTTTCAAGAAAAACTAGCTTCCAATTACGGGCTCAGTGCCCAAGATGTCTCCTAATGAATTTTATCTTCAGGCTCTCCAGAAAAGAATGGAGCACCAGTGACCTAAGCAGATAAACTGATGACGCCACAAACATGGACTGCGGATGTAGCACAGGTAGCACGTACTGACATCCCAGAGTCCCAGTCAGAGGCTGCAAAACCATTTTTTTCTCCTACCCACATCTGACCCAGCCCAAGTCTTGATGCATCATATGTACCCACGTAAACACAATTTTTTTATACCCGGACTCAGCCCACCCAGACTGACTTAAGTTTTTCCTACCCGCACCCAGCCCATCCCCCATCTGCAATAAAAGCCTTACCCCTACCCAGCCACATCCATGCCAAAATTTCAGCCACCCGCATCCGGCCTCACCCAACCCCAATTTTTCATCCACCCATGGCCAGCCATACCCGTGCCCAAATTTTGCCACCTGCCATACCCTTCTGTTTTTCCTTAATTTCAAACTTGGGCCTTTGCATGTCAGATTGTTCACCTTCCATCCACATATTACCACATTCACCACAACTTTGGTAGCAATTCAGTGACAAATCCAAACAGGGCCCAGTGGCCAAACTGCTAAGGGCATACTCGCACTCGTACTTTTCTGTATGCATCTGGCCGCAACTACGGCTAGATTTGGATCACTCTGACGGCAAGCACGCCAAGAGCTATTTATGAAATGTCCTAGTGCAAGTACGCCCTAAGAGGGAAGGACAGGGGGCATCGACCAACGGGCCTAGCTCAATTGGTACACCCATGAACTGTCAAAATGCAGACCTGTGTTGGAATCCAGAGGGGATTAGAAGACAATTCTTTGAATTACCTGGGGCTGGTCAGTTCAACCTCAAGCCCGTTGTCCTGTCGAACGAAAAAAAAAAAAGGAATGGCAGCCCCACCATTTGAGGGTGGACAAAAAAAGGGCCAGGGCAAACTCACACTACGGGCACACCCGACCACTTGGCAGTGAAAGAAAAAGCGGTCTGGCCGAATTAATAGTATGGCCTGGCCATAATACTACCTATGCTTGTCTACAGGCCCAGGGTCACCTGGGCCAAACCTCTACCCAGCCGTAACCGGACCAGACCCCCGGAAAACATTTACCCGGCCGTAACTGCCCATGCACTGCTTCAACACTCAGCCCCGCCCAACCCACACTCCCCCCCCCTCTTCATATTCCCACACCCAGCTGCACCGGTGCATACGCGTCTTGCCATACCCACACATCCATAACTGCCAAGTACGGCTGGGTACGGTCAAGTCGGGTAACAGTCACCCATAGTCAACCTCTGGTCCCATATCACTGAATTTTAAACTGTAAAGTTTAAAGTGAGTGGATAGAACAGTTAATGCGATTTTGATGAGGAATGCTCACAAGATATTTAGAGGGATAGAGGCCTCTGAAGGTTCTCAATTTTACTTTGGATCCATGAGCTTGCTTCTACGCTTTTCCTCATCCTCCACAAGCTGGGCACCTTGTCCTACGTGCACTTTTGTTGCCTTTCGGTGTGGCAGAGTCTGAGCACTCATCTTCGGATGGGGCGGGTCAAGCCTGCAGAGCACACAGACAATTTCAATTTTGTTCGTAAATCTTTTCAACGAACAGGTTAGAATTAGGAGTGACAATTTGGTACATATGGAAAACACTTGCCCACATTACAAAATGTCTACTCATGAGACAGGCATCATCCTGTTCTCCTAGGACCTCAATCTCACAGTACCTTGGTGCTGTCTGTATGTTTGAGAAAAGAAACAGCCCTGCAATATCGTATTTTCTGTTTTTTTGCTTTTTTTGTCTTTTCTTTAGGACAATATCGGTGGCGGGGATGATGGGGGTGCTGATATGAGCAGACACCCTAACCATGGGCTACTGCCTCATGATGGCTCCGTTCCATTGGTGGGGAGCTGCACCTGCTGGAAATCGGGTTCAGCGTCCCATGAAAAAATATTGCAAAGAGCCATAAACAAATGAGTTATTGACCGATATGTGAAGCTCTACCCGCCCTGAATTATGCCTAGCTGACTGTCGGCAACCTGTCCAATCTTCTCGTCTTCTGCTTTCTAAGGGGATGAGTCTGATGCCAGTGGAATAGGAACCAGACTGATCCTCTCCGGGATATGATGGAGCAGGAAGCACAATGGCATGCCTGACAGTCAGTCAGTCCTCCCATGGAGTAATCAATGCTGTTTCAGGAGTTCCTTAGGCCACAATTGAAGGAAGCGTGGTTATATGATGTCGCTAATGCGATAAACTTGCCAGTGGAAAAGGAAAAGAGTTCAAAAGACTGAAGTGCCTACAGAACAGTTTGAACCCAGGACAATACGGACCTGTTGAATGTTCATTAGAAAGGAAAAAAACTTTAAAAAAGACATTAAATAAAGGGAATTTTTTTCAAAAAAAGGACGGTTAGCTCCCTGGTGGCAAATGAAACACAGCAACTGCAAGGAACATGAGTATGGACGAAGCACAGAAATCCAGAATGCAAAATCACACTGAAGTCCAAGTAGTCAAAGCCAAAGCAGATAGCACAATGG